TCCTTTGCGGATCTTGCAGTGTAGTACCCCGCACATACCAGGGATGGCTATGTGTCGATCCACACTCCAAGAGACTCCCTAAGTGTTTTTCACGCGCGCAATAGCGTCACGCGATGCCGATGCTACGTGCCCAATCGGTTTGCCAAGTCTTTCCGGCGCAATGACGGGTTATCACCCTATATCTTCCTATGTAGCCTCTCACTTCTTCCTTTTTGATGTCCAACTCACATAAACTATTTGAGACTCCATATTCAAGGGGCGGAGTGGTTGAGGTTTTACCAGTTATTCCCGGAGCGGCTGGCTCAGCTGGCTGTCAGCCGACGCTAGTCCTGTTAGGTTGTTATCGCACCATGTTGATTTCGTAAGATCACATTAGCGACTCTCGTTTTCGCTGGGTTTCCACTCATGTCGTCTCGCACCGGTATCATAGTGTGGATCACCTATTTTGCCAAAAACTTCATTACATCCCTTGATGGCTTATGCGTGTTCCAGGGGAGGGGGGGCACTCACCATACACGCGTTACACGCACTGACGCGCGTGAAAGTCGACTCATCGAGCGCACTCAACTACAGGCTCAGGACACGCGCCTGACACACAGTGTTCATCCAAGAAACACTTCGGCAGGCGCCGTTCAGTGCACGGCGTGCACACACGGTGAAACCATATGCCTAAACGGAACTTCAGGTGAGCCCCTCACAGTGATAACTCCTCCCGTGATAGAGTGACTATATACAGTTTACAGTACCCTTTGTCTATGTACGTGGGTACATTAATACGCTGTACACGTGACGCCTCCCGCCGATGTTATCACTTCTGATGAATGGCTTCTCTATCTAACCCTTCCAGGGTGGAAGTTTCACCCACGTTTGGCTTCTAGGCCAAACATCAGATGCCCTTTTCAGTTTTCAGTCAACTCCATCGCCTTCCACTACTATGGTGCGGTTCGCTTCCATCCTCCTTGCATCCTTCTGCGGAAGTTTCGTGGTCGCCATCGAGACCCCTCCGTTGAAGGCTGTCCCTTTGCCTAATGGGATGTACACCAGCAGCGACCCAATTGTATCCGGAAACCTCATCTTCAATGCTCAGCAGCAGACCTTCGATATCAAGGCTACAGTCGACGGTTGCCACCTTGATGTCAAGGGAATGACATTCTCCAGACCTACTTCGACTGGGCTTAAGTCCAAGTACTACATTGCTATCGGTTATGACAAGACTGACCTTGAGCTCCAGGTCAAGGCATGTGCGGATACTCCGGTTACTATTCAAGACTTCAAAGAACCTTTATTGTATGCCTATGGTACGGGAGCGGATAAGAGAAACACCATAAGTCCGGATTGGGGCAAGACCCCGAGTGTGTTCTACCATAAGGATAGATAATCCACAAGCCGCAGCCTGCTGCATCACATGGTCAGATCCAAATGTATCTCTCAGATTAAGTCGTTCTTTTGTGGCATTATTCGTGATGCCAATTCCCTCTAGACAAGAAATGTAGGGTTCAGAATCGATTCTTGTCGAAATCTATTTCCACTACGCAAATCATAGAATATTATTAGCATTGACTCATGCTACATTGTTTATGACTGTATGATTATATGTTTATGAGTAAATGCTATTCGATTACATCAGACTACGCCATGTTTACCAGCTGCATTATAGAGCGGCTCCCTTTCGTTGCGCATGCGTCACACAAGCACGCATGCTGCGTGCTTGTGCACGCGTACTCATGCTCATCAGATCGATCTCGCTATGGCCGAATGGCCCGTTTTACGACGATTCAAGTTCTTATGATGAGGATTAAGTTTATATAAGAGATCATGAGACTAAGTAGTTCACTTTTTGAGTCACGGAAATCAAATGGCACTTCTGAGTAGTGTTAGTCATCGGGGGGTCATTTGGTAGTTTCTGATTGTCTGCATCTTGTCGTGCAATCCTCAACTGTGTGAGGATGGCTGTCCGATGTCCACAGATGAAGTCGGCAGGGCGGGGCGAGCCAAGTTAACGAGTTTTGGGTGGGAAGCTGCGATGTTTGCTGCAAACAGTTTGCAGTGGCAGGAAATCGGTTGCACCTATAGCTCGAAGAGAAACGCCGCCACCCTTCGATGCCCACAATGGTAGGAGTTGCTCCCGGCCGGGCCGGCCGTATCCTTCGTCCTCAATCAATCGTCTTGTGGCTATCATTGTGCCAACGCTTGTACATTACAACTTTGGATCCAGAATAACGTGGGATTCTCAGAATTGACACAGCGCTGGAACGGTCCGGTTTCCTATAAAGGACCAACTAACTCTGACCAGATCGCCGAAATCGTGAGCCTGACCGCCGGCTTACCTGTCACTGACCGGTAAGCCGGCAGTAACGACTCGCAAGTCGACGGAACGTGAGTGACGTTTGGTCACGCGAACGAGAATAGTGAGACGAGAGTTCTCAAAACTCCCGCACAGGGAGTTGCTGGCCTAATACTATATTGGACCAGCAACTGTATTGGCAATACAAATTCGAAGGGCAGACGGTCCGCTAATTCGATACCAATGCTCAACAATTAAGAGCTCGTGATCACCCCTTGCATGAATCCTTGGCCAAGATCAATGACAAGGAATACACGGATCAGTTGAGATCTTCAAGCGGCCTAGCTCCTGACGAGCAACGAGCAGCTATTTTACGTTGGTGCGAGTCCCCATGCCGCCGGACCAGCAGGATCTTGAGGCCTGCACGGTTGCATCCTGATTCTCATTTATAATCCGTAACATTGAACATTCGAGTTTATTAGGGTGTATGTCGGCTGACATCAAGTAACATTACAGGTAGCCGACCTCTTAATAACACATGAAATTCAGCGCTTGGCCGTCAACTTAACATGCATTTCGAAATTGAAATTCCATCTCGTGAATAACTCCTTCCACTATACTAAAATCAAATTCCTTTTATCTAATTCGTTCGTTCACTTGCTGAATTTGTATCTGTTCATCATGAGCAGATGTCTTTCGGAATAGACAAACAAGTCTTAGTCGCTCAGCCACGAGATGTACATATGACCCGTAGAGTATGCGTAGACACGAAGAACGTGGAAGTTTGCAGGTTGATTATCGAACACACAATCCCGAGGATCCCATCTTCATAGTAGTTGAGATGGCTGATCACCCAGCCACATTTCGGCCCGATGGACCGATGCAAAGGAAATTGCTCACAGTAGTCGAGATAGCCGATTTCGCGGCCATCTTCGTGAAGTGGCCGATTTGCCGATGATTCCACTGGGCCCACGCAACACTCAGTTGCTCACAGTATTTGAAATGAGCGATCTTTCAGCCACTCCTAGGCCCCACTGGACCGTCGCAACACTCAGTAACTCGCAGTACTTGGAATGGCCGATCTCTCAGCCACTTCACGGCTCAACTGTGCGAAGGAAGTAGACTGCTTGACGTAGTCGGATATACTTTTCCTGCGGAGACTCTCCGCGGGGGACGTTGAAGCGCATCAACTCCAGTGGTGCATAGCTGCTCTACCTGGAACCGAGGAATTGTTTGGTTGAGTTCCAAGGAATGGTCGCACTCGTATCTTGCACGCATGTGTGCGTACATACGTGGCAGTCTGCACGGTGCAGCTTGTGTACTCTGCGCGATGCGTTCCACGTTTGCATACTCTCCCGTTACAGGAATGATTTCACTGCTGCAACACTCCACTAAGCTTTCAAGCAAATCGGCAAACGTGTTGAACCATCTGCTAAGGCACGAAGGCACCCACGTGCATAGTTTCATCAATAATTGATCGAACAATCATCAATCTACGGGTGACTAAGCCCTTGTGTATACCTTGCAGATATATCTTCTGAAAGGACAGCAGTTAGAAAGGCATCCAGCGACACTTTCGAATCAGTGTAAATGTGGATGCTACGACAATTATAATCGAGGCATCGTAAGATGCCAGCTATCAAACTATCCAATTCACTATATTTGCAAACTTGGACGAGTACTACTATCAATATTTTGAGCATCGGCTGAATGTAAATGACAATCATGATGATTGAAGAAGATGATTGAATCATCTTCTAATCACCCGAGAAGGTAGGGCACGGAACCCCCGTCTTCGGCTGAACTTCTACTTCGGCCACCGAACTGACGCGCTACAGTAACACCAAAGTCGTTGGAGACAATGTCGAACTACCGGGAGTCAGTCCTGAGTCTGGGCACCAAGATGTTGAGTGCTTAAGTTGACTGCCAACTAAAGCTTAACCAAGGCGCAGAAAAGCCTTGGTATATGCGTGCAACTGTGTGAGGGCATAGCTAAGGGCACGAATAACTTCAAGAGCGCAAGGATAACTATTCTCAGTTACTTACTCTAAATAGATGAAGAGAAATGCTAAGATCACAATGGTGCACACAGAGTGATTCAGCTAAAGAGACATAATGCTCAACTAATGCCTGATAACAGTATATAACACCTCTACGTTGTCCCACTATGCGGTCCTGCCTGTGAGGAGTAGACAGTATAAGGCGACGCGAGACTCCTACGCGTAGCTCACTTGTGCATGCGTTAAACGATCGATCGCCTTAAGAGTCTTCCGTTAGACTCTATTGAGGATTACTTATGGCACCCTTGCCAACCTTGTCGATCGCAGGACTATTTTGTAAGAGTCACTAGCATAGACTTTCTATAGTATCAAGTGACGACCCGATCATGTCCTCGTCCGGATCTCTTGTACTCAAAGGTAGATTTATTTCAGGCAGTTGAGTAACATCCCTCATGCTCTTTACTGTGAATTTGTTAAGGTTGAGCAGCCTCCTGTGGACGTTCGAAGCTCCTCATGTAGTTCCAGAAGTGTCTTATAGTAAAATAGGTCCTACGAACACTACCTCGGAGGGTCTCAAGGTTATTACTAGTGGCCAAGGTTATTACTCTGTGATACCGACGTTAAGCAAGTTCATGGGCGCTATGCTGTGTACCCGGGAAACCCAGAGAGGGAGTGAGAACTACTGTTCACTGCTACGGGGAGGGACCTGTCGGCAGGTACTTCTTTTGGTTTTTCGAATCGAGGAATAGTCCAGCAACTGATCCGATCTTCCTATGGGTTCACGGTGGCCCAGGCGGGAGCGCAACTGTTTCAGCGGTCGAATACAATGGTCCTTGCATGGTAAACAAAGAAGGAACTTCGACATCCATCAACCCGTAAGATGTCCACATCGATGATTCTCAAGATGAATATTTCAGGAACTCGTGAACTAACAGGGCCAATGGCATCTGGTTGGATCAACCCACTGGGGTGGGTTACAGTAAAGGAGGGCCACCTGAGACAGCCATAGGAGAGATTGTGGAGAACATGTTAGTCCGAATCTCATGGGATTTCGTTGGATCTTCTCCGTCATCATCAGATACAGATTCGTGGAGGAGTTTTTCAGTCGATTCCCCAAGTACAGAGGCCCTTTCTATCTGAGTGGGATCTCATTTGCGGGTGAGAGAGCACACAACATTCATATCACTATCACTCCGATGTTCTGCGTCTTTCAGGCATTCTGCTCCCACAGATCGCACATGCTTTGAAACAAGGTAGCGAGCCCCTGATAAACCTCAAGGGCATCATTTTCTAGAACGCAATTATGAATGCCGAAGCTCAGTAGCCGCAGGAGTTCGAATCCTTGAGGCACTGCAAAATATGCAGCTATGCGCACGGTCGTAGCTACTGTGTCGAAGTAGAGACCGATACATTGGCCGGCGTCAGAGGCGTGGACTATCTCCATGCAGATACTGTGATGTGCGTCAAGCCGAAGTTCCTCAGTGAGCTCCTTAATAAGCTCAGCTGTGAGGCTTGCTAGTGAAAATCCGGGCCTCAGAAAATTCAGGGTGCGTTCCATTGTTTTTGTGAGAAACACTTTCTCCAAAGATATATTCAAACACATGCAGGACTGGACAAGATCTTTGAAGAAAGGACGTAAGGCACCCGGTTTCAATTTATACAGGAAATAGGCTGTGATCACG